ATAATGACAATGTGAATAGATTTTTAGAAATTGTTGCAAAGTTATGAAAAATAAAAAAACCTGAAAAATCACATGTAAATAAGTATTCACAGCCTTTGCTCAATACTTTGTTGATGCACATTTGGCAGCAATTACAGCCTTAAGTCTTTTTGAATATGATGCCACAAGCTTGGCACACCTGTCTTTGGGAATTTTTGCTCATTCCTCTTTGCAGTACCTCTCAAGCTCTATCAGGTTGAATGGGAAGGGGTTACAGCCATTTCCAGGATGACAGAAAGGCTCTGGCTGGGCCACTCAAGAACATTCACTGAGTTGTGAAGCCACTCCATTTATTTCTGATGGTGTGTTTTGGGTCATTGTCCTGCTGGAAGATGAACTTGAGGTCAAGAGTACTCTGAAGCAGGTTTTCACTCAGGATGTCTCTGTACAGTACATTGCTGCATTTATCTTTCCCTCTATCCTGACTAGTCTTCCAGTTCCTGCTGCTAAAAAACATCCCCACAGCATGATGCTGCCACCCCCATTCTTCAGTGTAGGGATGGTATTAGCCTGGTGATGAGCGGTGCCTGTTTTTTTTCTAAACCTAACGCCTGGCACTCACATCAAAGAGTTCAATTTTAGTCTCATCAGACCAGAGAATTTTGTTTTTTATAGTCTGAGAGTCTTTCAGATGCCTTTTGGCAATTCCAGCCGAGGAGTGGCTTCCGTCTAGCCCAGGGGTGGCCAACACTGTTCCTGGAGAGCCACCTTCCTGCAGATTTCAGTTGCTACCCATATCAAACACACATGAACCAATTAATTAGGACCTGAACACCACGTGATAATTACAGCCAGGTGTGTTTGATATGGGTTGCAATTGAAATCTGCAGGAAGGTGGCTCTGCAGGAACAGGGTTGGCCACCCCTGGTTTAGCCACTCTACCATACAGGACTGATTGGTAGTTTGCTGCACAGATGGTTATCCTTCTGTAAGGTTCTTCTCTCTCCACAGAAGAATACTGGAGCTCAGACAGAATGACCATTTGGTTATTGATCACCTGTATGACTAAGACCCTTCTCACACTATTAGATGGCTGGCCAGCTCTAGAAAGAGTCCAGGTGGTTCCGAACATCTCCCACCTATGGATGATGGAGGCCACTGTGCTCATTGGAACTTTCAGAGCAGCAGACATTTTTCTGTAACCTTCCCCAGCCTTGTGCCTCGAGACAATCCTGTCTTGCAGGTCTACAGACAATTCCTTCGTCTTCATGCTTAGTTTGTGCTTTGACATGCACTGTCAACCCAGGGACCTTATAAAGACAGCTGTATACAGGTGTATTTTCAAATCAACTAAATTTACCACAGGTGAACTCTAATTAAGCTACAGAACATTTCAAGAATGATTAGTGGAAACAGAATGTACCTGAGCTCAATAAAGAGCTGCACGGCAAAGGCTGTGAATACTTATTTACATGTGATTTTTCAGGTTTTTTATTTTTAATAAATTTGCAACAATTTTAATAATCTTTTTTCACATTGTCATTATAGGGTATTGTGTGTAGAATTTTGAGGAAATAAATTAATGTAATCCAATTTGGAATAAGGCTGTAACATTAAAAATGTGGGAAAAGTGATGCACTGTATATACCACTATATAAAATATTGGTTTCTGTGATGAAGTCCAGAGACTGTTGCATCACTGTTGCTGATATATTTTCTTTATATAAAAACTGAAAGAAAAACTCCAAAGTTTGTTTAAAAATGGAATTTTGCTCTGGAATGGCAGTCCTTCTTTGATGATTCGGTCAGTTTGACTGATTGGGTAAGATATTATTAGCCCTGCCTCTCCAACAGTTAGTTTGCTGCAAGAGGAAAGGAGGTGCAAAAAATAAAACTCTGCCCCCTACTCTTTATTCTGTTCAGTTGGAAATATGTCATCATACTGACATGAAAGTCTGCAGCAAATTCTGGTTCACATAGACTTTAAATGGCACCTATGGTGAAAAAAATCTACTTTTCAAGCTGTTTGGACAGACATATGTGTAGATATAGTGTATAGACCATCACATTGGGGTGATATAAACACACCCAGTCCTTTTTTTTTCAATTTAACAACATAAAAACGGTGGACCAACTGGAGTGGTTTTCAGACCGACCGCAACTTGATGTAGGAGTACGTCCCCCTGCCCACCTAATTTATTGACATCTGCAAATGTTAACATGTCACAGTAGTCACGTGTGTAATCATATCAACAAGACCAGACATGAGCAAACCAACTGGGAATAAAAGGTCTGTTCAGTTTGCTAAGATCATCAATCATCATCAAATGTGATCAAGAAGAGTGAGTTTTACAAGTTTAAAATGTTTTAAAACTGTGCATGTGTGTAATGAAGTACAGCAATTTACTTCAGCTTTACTTTATTAGCACAGCCGCGTGTCAAACAATTATAAAGGAAGATGCTTCAATCCCGCTTTGTGGACATTAAATCAGGTTTATTTTGTACATTAACATAACAGATATCCATACAGCAGTGGAGATTAACCTGTATCCTGTCACATATGCGTGCAAAAAGAGTGCTAAGCTAAACACACTCCGTCTGTCTGTGTTTGTGTTTGTGTGTGTGTGTGTGTGTGTGTGTGTGTGTGTGTGTGTCTGTGTGTGTGTGTGTGTGTGTGTGTGTGTGTGTGTGTGTGTGTGTGTGTGTGTGTGTGTGTGTGTGTGTGTGTTTGTTTGTGTAAAGACTTTTTAAGCCTTTACTTTGTAAAGACATTGTGTGTGACTCATCGATGCAACTCCACAACAAATACTCATTGGTAAAGTCCTAAATGTAGTATTTCTCACAAACGCTACGTGAGATCTTCTACCTTTAAGTCTGTTGTCTGACGCAGCCGAAGGAGGAGATTAAGGCAAGCAGAAAGGCACATGGAAACAGTAGGCGGGGAGGACTAGCCTTAATGGCGCAGTACGACAAAACCGCCCCCTGGTGCATAATTGTATAAAATAGAATCTTGTAAATGGTATAATGAAAAACCTTATGGGTGTTTTGAGCCCAAACTTTACAGACACATTCTGGAGATGCAAAACACTTATAATAAATCTGAAAAAAGGGTAACCTAGGTGCCCTTTAACTTCTGAAGCTGACTGATATGGTAAAACCATTTCCAAGACAAGTAGTTTGTTGTTGAGCAATTTGTCTCTTCCATTTCTTTTCTTACTCTAAAACAACCACTGATATCACAGTGTTAATGCCTTGTGGACAAACTAAGCAGAAACAATTCAAAGTGAATGCGCAAGCTGCATTGATTTATGCACAATTATAAACAGATGACTCTGTGAATACTGTACTAATAATAACAGTTGTATCATGTACACTATGTGCAATCCCTTGCGTGCTTGTAAAAAAAAATTCTATATATTTTGGGCTGAGCTGTAAAATGCTTTAGTGATGCAAAATTAATGTAAACACAGTTTATGTCATAACGACACTAAAACATCTTGCATTTTTTAAAAGCAAATCTAGCTGTGCATTATAAATGATTAAATACAGCTTCATACAGTTATCAGACTGCCTTAAAAGTAAAAAAAATCCATCACTGGAAATTTTTTTAGATTTTAAAGGGCCATGAAACCCCTCTGTTTCAGGGGGGTGTTTTCACACCTTTAGTTTGGAAAAAGCCAGGAAAATGGGTGTGTCTACCTCTGTTTACGTGAGAGTGTCGGGGGAGGGAAAGATGGAAGGTTTTGGATAAAAATGTCGGTTTGGGCATGCGCAGATTTTCACAGAAGCAAAACAAACACACAGATGCAAGGGAGAAAGACAGTGACTGTTTACATGGACATCAGTAATTAAATTATTTGAAAAAAATCGTTAATTTGTCGACGTTAACTGCATTTTGGCACTTTCACTCTCATTCCGAAACATTTTATGCTTTATTTTATGGATTTCACCATTTCCAGATGCAAAAAGCTCTTGGGTAAAAATGTTCCTTACGAACATATTTCTGCCATGTGTCGAGAGTACAGTAATCAAATCACAAAGAACTCCCAGGTACAGACATCCACCCTCCACGCAGGAATACATGCAAATATCTAATCACTGTGACGCAGCTTCAAAAATGTGTTTCAAACTGAAAGAATGAATTTGCTGAAAGTAATGCAAAAACAACCAATTTTCACTTTTTTTATAAAATATATGTGTCTAATAGTGTTTTTAGCAGCGTGGGACACATATACTACTGTCAACAGCTCAAAAAAATGTGTTTTGGTGTTTTATGACCCTTTTTAAGCATTTTTGAAGTTTGTTTGTGTGTGTGTGTGTGTGTGTGTGTGTGTGTGTGTGTGTGTGTGTGTGTGTGTTCTGTGTGTGTGGGTATAATAAGAACAGAAAAAAGTGGCTCAATGTATTACAAACAGTGTTTTTAAAAGTCTAAACACTTTTTAAAACACTAAACACTATTGATAAAGTGTATAACCAAGCGCATATGGTCAGAACATAAAGAAGTTGCAGGTAATTAAATATTAAGTATTTCTCTCAAAGAAAAGCCTGATTAAGAAAAATGCTAACAGGCCTCTGTAGCTCAGCTCACGCTTTGCCTCTTTGCCCTTGTTTGGTATCACCCACGCAAACAAAATGGCGAGGGTTAGTCACACCTACTTGTAGCTTCTTTTGCATTCTTTAGAAACCTATGGGTGATGTCACGGATACTATGTCTATATCTTTTACAGTCTATGCATCTTTTAGAAGGTTTTATATCAAACACACTTTCAAACTAAATTTATGAAGTGAGTTTGTAGTAAGAACATGCTATTATATGCATCAATTCATATACAGCATTTACTACACAACAGTTGTAGTGCACTGAGAAGATATGCAGACAGCTGTGATTATTACAGCATAATTATCTCGATGGTTTTATAATCGAATTAAATTGATTGTGATCTCGAAACTGATTTTTGCAGTCAGTAAAATCAATCAGTGAAAAAACGTAGCTTGAGAACAGTATGAATGGTAACACTTACAGTTGAAGGAGGCTGGTGAGTCCCTAGGCCTGGCAAACTCGTCCACATGAACTGCTTGCATGCTGGGCTGACTAGGGTGGCGTCCCGGATAGGGTGGCGGTAAAGACCCGTAACCCATGGCACTGGTGCTCCCTGTAACACGCTCACGGGTTTTGTGTGCCTGCGATCTTTCCTGCTTGAGCCGCTCATCGTCCCTCAGCAGAGCCACCAGCTGCTTAGACTTTTCCCGCACACTCATGCCCTGGTCTTGTCCATCCCGGTCAATGTACTGAAAGTCCCGAAGGGTCTGGATGGCGTAGATGTTCTCCTTGCACTGCTGGGCCACTCTCTCTGACCCAGTCTTGATCAGATATTCCAGCAGGTTAAGCGCCTTGTACACGTGCCGCCAGTTCTTGCCATGGTCATTTAGCCTCTTCCAGATGATGCCCATGACCTCGGTGAAAGCCACCACGTTGAAGGTCAGATCAGAGATTTCCATCATGAGTGAGGAAGGAGGACCCCAGGGGTCATTGGAAGTTGCCTCTCTGACCTTGATTTCAGCATCTGTGTAGTTGTTTACAATGTTTTTGACCTGCCTTCGTAACGAAGAGGTCGTCATGATGGTTTTTTAGGTGTGGGATGGGGTGGAAGAGAAGATGGGGTGCAATGTTTGGCACAGCGATGTAATGGTCAGATACCAGCAATAAAAATCTGCAAGTTTTTTAACCTGTGGAACAGAGAAATGAAAATAAAAAGGTTGGATTTCATACTCGAAATATACATTGTTTTAATGATAAATTCCCTTGATTTCTTTGGAAAATACATACAGCAGGTAAAACAAGTATTGATTTTTCCTGGTATTTTCTAAAGGAGCTGTTGACATAAAATCGACCTAGATTTTGGTTAAAAAAAATAAAAATACATAACAAAAACAGACTTTTTTATCTGGGCTTTCTATGCCTTTTTACACCTCCATTTCTTCATGTGGTCAATACTTTCTTTCTCTGTATCAATGAATTTTATTACAAAAAAAGTTATTTTAAGCAATTAAGTTATTTTTAAAAAATTTGTTTTTTTCCGACCTATTTGCTATAGCCTAGCCCAAACTGTAATACCTAAAGACTTATATGGTCCGAGGATCAGTAATCCTCACCACTAGTCAGATTCAAAAACTCGTTCAAATTAATCAATAGGTGGCACTGTAGAGCTCATTCATGCGAGTGTGCACATAATTCCTAAACAATTTGTTGTAGACTCAAAAATAAAATGTAAGTTGGCAACATTACATTATCCTACTACATTGGAGTTAGGATATAGGAGATAAGTTTTTCCACTAATTTAGGTTATATCTGAAACCTATTCTGAAACCTTAACTAGTCCTAGGTTTTCCACTTGATCGGAACAAAGCAAGCGTAGAAATAATCTCAGTAAGCTGAATAGCAATAGCTATTAGAAAATTTTCTCTCACGTTTCTCACGGTTGTTGAGGGATGGCAAAATGTTTGTGGCCGTTTGATCCATGTTTATGTCAATGGTATGACTCATGAACGGATTGAGATATCTTTTATAAAATTAGGTCAATTATGGCTCGTTTCCACTGACTGGTACAGTACGGTACGGTTCGGTTCGGGTCGGTACGGATCACCTTTATCAGGCTTGCGTTTCCACTATAAAGGGTACCCTTTTGATGGGCGTGGTGTATGACAAAGTTTCAGTCTATGTCTTTTTCGCTCGAGAAAATGTCTACAATAAAGCTGCACAGGTTGTTCACATATCATATGAAAAGCACTTCTCACAAAACAGATGGTTTACACACATAAATACTTGTGTATAAATGTTTATTACTAACCTTTCTATAAACAGGAATTGATTATAACTGCAGGTCATATATGAACACATACAGACCCTTACAGTCTCCGATATGTTAGCAACTACAGAAGAACTACTCAAAGCAGACATTTCGTCGTTAATTAGGTTCAAAACAACACAAAGTATAGCCTATACAGCCAGTGAAAACCTCTCCTCTGTGTCTGTAATCTTCAGCAGCACGTCATGCAGCCTCTGTTAGAGTCATTCCATCATTCCCAGTTCATATTAGTCCAAAAGGTGATAATACAGATTAAAACAAGGCAGTTTGTTCACATTTGCTGAAGAAATAACGTGCTCCTTGGCTTCGCCTTTCTTCCCACGCTCTAATCTCGCGTTTGTCCTATTCTTTCTGAATGTGTCACTCGCGTTTGTCAGCTTCTCACAGGATCGGGTTTCCAAAGCTTGTCAATAATCAAGTGCATGTTATTATCATCAGCTCAAGAAGTTTGTTATTTCAGATAGAGACGTGCGGCGAGCGCAAAGAAGAAAGTGAAACCACTCGGGCTTCAGACTGGCTCGTTAAAAACTACGCGGCACAGGGTGAATCTGCTGTTCTCCATGGCTTTGTGGCTGTTTATCATGACCACGACAGGGTTTGTTTGCAGGATCGACCATGGCTTTATATGTATTTATAATTCAGCTGTAATCTCTCGCTGTGTATTTCAAACATGGCGGGTCCTTTGTTTACATTTTGGCTTGTTGAGTCTACGAATGACGTATCTCTGTAAACCAATAGCGTTCAGCTGCGCGTGTAGCTCCACCTTTTGGGACCCTTTCTGCAGTTTGGGACCCTTTTGAAAGGGTCCCGAAAAAGTGGTACGGTACGGTTTGGTTCGGTACGCCTTTTGACAGTGGAAACGGCCATAAAAGTGTACCAGACCGAACCGTACAGTACCACTCAGTGAAAACGGGCCATTATGTAATACATCATTGTGAGGTGACAACACAAAACAACACAGACATTAGCCACATGGTGACACTATAACATAAAAAATGTAACCGATTGTATGATGAAATTCAACCTTTTACAACTTTTACATGCACTCAGTAGGCAGCGTTAGAAAGCCGTGTGTGTTATTCCTGTCACAAAATGCTGCGAAAATCCTCCACGACGGTAAGTTTGGTTGTGTGGCTTTCATATTTACACTCAGAGAGCAGCATTTACAGCAGATTTTTCAGTCCATAATATTGTAGTGATGTTAACATACGGTAAACTTTATTAACTTAGAAATCATTTGACTAAGGTCCGTCTTTAAAGACTGAAAGAGTACTGCTGATAATATGAACTAACTTTGCCTCTGAATAAAGAAGCAAAGACCTCTGATCACTCCTTTACCAATTCTGTGAAGACAGGACAATTAACACCAACTGGAGCCGCGTCTTCATTAAAAGGAGATGAGCGGCAAATCCAGATTTTACCATTTCCAGATGAGAACAGCTCTCAGGTAAACAATGTTATTCAGACATGTATTTCTATGGCACGTCGCATGCACTGTAATCCACTCTTAAATCCAGATTAAACAACCAACCAATTTTTACTTTTTAGTGAAATATATGTGTCCTAATAGTGTTTTTAGCAATGTGGGACACATATAAGACTGTCAAAAGCTCATAAATGTGTTTTGGTGTTTTGTGACCCTTTCCACACCTCTTTTCTAAACCGGAACACCCATGAGTCCACCAAGTGGTGCAAATGGATTTGTTTTTTAAACAATGTGGTGCAAAACGGGAAAATTAGGGTTGCGCTGCTCTGAAAATAGCAACACGTCATGGCAAACATGTCTTGCGTCTTATTGCACCAGGTGTATGATAGGGCCAACAGTTTTTTGTTCAATTCCCACAAAACCAGTGTGAGGATTAAATCTAAAGATGTTTACAACTGTGTTTAAAACTATTGATAGTGCGGGGGATCATGGGATTGATCATGATGTGAAGATTACGTTCACTGAGAGATGGCCAGACATGTAGCTGTGGGGAATAAAGAGTTTCCTTCAGCTTAGTGTCTATATTTATTAGGGGTAGCCACAGTGGAATTAACCACCAACTTATCCAGCATATGTTTTACACAGCAGATGCCTTTCCAGCCACAACCCAGCACTGCGAAACAACCATACACTCTTGCATTCGCACACATACACTGTGGCCAATTTAGCTTATTCAATTTACCTACACTCATGTCTTTGGATTGTGGGGGAAACCGAAGCACCCGAAGGAAACCCACTCCAACACATGCAAACTCCACACAGAAATGCCAACTAACCCAGCCGGGGTCAAACCAGCAACCAGCAGAATGAAACCTTCCAACCACAACCCAGTAATGGAAAACACCCAAAACACTGTCAAATTCACACACAGTCATAAACTATGACAAATTTAGTTCATCCAATTCACCTATAGCGCATGGATTTAGGGGAAAACTGGAGCATTCTGAGGAAACCCACGCCAACACGGGAGAACATGCAAACTCCAAACATGCCAACTGGCCCAGCTGGGAGTCGAACCATCAACCTTCTTGCCGTTAGGCGACTGAGTCACCTTGCCAAAACAAATTATTATGTCATTAAGGCAATATATATGCAATACGTGTGTATATGTATACAGTTTCTCATAGTAAATGCATACTAAAGTAGCTACTTTTATTGAAGTACAAATGAAATCAAGACTAACCATATGATTTTGTTAGCCCACATTGTTAGTTTTGTGGTGAACAATTTATCTATGCATGCCATTTAAAAAATGTTTGCCTTTTAAAAATGCACTTCCTGTTTTTTCAGTTAAATTGTCAATTATGTATGTTTTAGGACCAACTCTCAGTTTTGCCAACAAAGCAAAATGGTGAGGAGGTGGTGTCTGTTACGTTGTAATAACTCTTCTAAAACCCATTTCCTGATTTTTCTGATTGAAATGCCAACTTTACAACATCCATTTAGTTTTCAGTAGTAAAATGTTTTGAAAAAGATCTGTCATTTAATATTCCAATTCTCTAGGAACTGCACAAAATATGAAAAAAAAACAGTTATATCTTCTGTTCATGTGGACTTTAGAGTTTATCAATAATAAACAATATAGTTAAGTATGAACTGAATGTCATGTTTTTCTCTAATTAAAAGGATACATTTATTCTGCACAAGATCTTTTAAAATGAAATCCAAAAATATAACTCAACTCTTCTCTGCAATGTAAAGCAAACCACCTGCAACGAATATGTCTTCAAATAAATGAGTTCTAGCTAAAAAAAAAACAAAAGAAAAAACAGAGAATTTCTGAAGAGTCAAAAATAAATAGTTTCTGTACCGCTATCTATTCGTTTTAGAGCTCAGCTAGTGTTAGTTTGTCCAAAAGAAGACAGGAAGGGGAGTTTTTAGTATTTAAAAGGTCATAATGTAACTGTTTATTAATGTATAAGGTCAGCAGATAAAATTCAAATGTGGTAATGGATGTTTCTGGAAGTCATCTGACCAATCAGAGAAAAAGTAGAGTCATCTGACCAATCAGTGAAGAAGTGGAGCCATCTGAACAATAAAAACTGAGAGGAGCCATCTGATCAATTAAAGCATAGTAACTGACTAATCACCTCATAAGTGGAGCCACCAAACTAATAAGAACAGAATAGTGTCATCTGACCCAGGTTTGGGCTTTAAAATAGTATAGGTATTTACTAACTGTACACCATTGTCAATAATGATAAAAACAAAAAAGTTGATATAAAGCGTTATAGTTTTATTAACATGTGGCTGCAGAGCGTGCTTTGGAAGGAATGCCAATTAGCTTTGGGTGTAAGTTTGTCATTCCAAATCTAGGAGCACGACTTGCGTATGCAAATAGGGAGCGACACACACATGCTTACATTATTTCAGGT